AACTTTAATTCTTTATTCAAAATTATAATAGTAAAAATCATAAAAAAATAAAATAAAATAAAATTAAATTAAAAAAGTTAATAATTTAAAAAAAACAAAGATTTTTTATATCGTAAAAATTTGCCTTTTTATACTCTTTTCAATCTTCTTATAACTAATCATAACTATTCAAATATAATCTTTTTATCACGCGTTATAACAATAAATCCACAAAAATTCTTTATGCAAATTACATATAAAGTACAACAAAATCCAAAAGAAATCTTTATGCAAATTAATTCTAAAATTCACAACACATATTCATGCCAATCATTGCAAATGAGGGGGTTTTCAATTGAATCCATGATTACACAATATTTTGATAGTAGGTAGAAGAGTTAAAATAATTTAAGTTATTCTTTTTAAATATATGAAAGAAGTGCCATTATAGTTAAACAGATGTAATTAATAATGTATAAGCGGAAATTTTTATAGGGTTAGACATAGGTTTATGAGGGGGGTTTGCTCCAGTGAAAATCTTGTAATATAGAGAGACGCTATGCCTAGACTTAATTAAGATCCTTAAAAGAGTTTTATTTAAGATTTTGCTGAGAGATCACAAATATATTAGAATATATTTTTTAAAATTAATATCATGAGGTTGTTATAGTTAACGGGTACGGCTGCACTTTTTAGGAGGGTAGGGATATATGTAAGGGGGGCTTTCCAACAAATTTTTTGTCAAACTGATATTTAAATTTGGGTGATTAAAATTCTTACTTTTTTAATGTAGTGCTCATTTAGGTTTAGATATTGGCTCCTACTTATTCACTTGTTAGTATCTACTATAAAGGAGAAGATGGCAGACGCCCTGGCCAGAGGCGTCACTAGCCTCTATAATCTCAGGGAGCTCAAAAAATATTTTAAAAAGTATTTTCAAAATTATTTTTTAGCCAGCATATATCCAAAATTACGTGATACGTGATAAAAGCGTTTTCGCCCTCTGGTTGTAGGTACAACAGACCTACGCTAGGTTTTCCTCAAAGAGGAAGAAAAATGAGGAGCCCTTCACACGTTTGTGGGCAAGCCGCACGTACTTGTAGGTGCAACATTTCGAAAAAATTTGCTTAAACCTCTATAGGCTTAGTAAAAAGGAGTGGGGTAAAAAAAGAGCCTATATCCGAGAACTACAGTATAATTTAATTACTTAAAAGGTGGGTGATGGCTGATTTTAAGTCAAAATTCTTTAATGTAAGTTTTGATGATTACTATCACTAATGAGATTTTATGTTCATAGAATCTGTAAATAAATATGATTAAAATAAAAAAATTTGCCTGAACATTAGATACAGTGTTTTATTAATGATTCAATTGATACAATAGAGTAATCTTAGTCTATGTTCAATTTAATGTAACCATTTTAGCTTCAAAGGGTGATCCTTTGCTCTTATAAATTGCAAAAGGATGTAGATATATACAATCAAGAGTGGAATGAAATGTTCAATAACCTAATTGTGTGATCTTTTGGTTCTTATATTTACAAGAATAAGGAATTCGATATATCTAATTGTGTGACCCTTAACTTAACTTTGGATCTTATATACTCAACAATTTAAAATAGATCAAATGTAACCATTCCAGTTTAGCCACCGGTCACAGACTGAAGATTGTAAAGGGCCGGTCTCCTCCGCTCTCCAACACCATTGTCACAACGACAAGTTGTCATTGTGCATCAAAACTTAAATATAAAAATAGAAAACAAATATATATAAAAAGGAAATTAATAATAATTAGGAATCACGAAATCATAAAATCAACTTTAATTCTTTATTCAAAATTATAATAGTAAAAATCATAAAAAAATAAAATAAAATAAAATTAAATTAAAAAAGTTAATAATTTAAAAAAAACAAAGATTTTTTATATCGTAAAAATTTGCCTTTTTATACTCTTTTCAATCTTCTTATAACTAATCATAACTATTCAAATATAATCTTTTTATCACGCGTTATAACAATAAATCCACAAAAATTCTTTATGCAAATTACATATAAAGTACAACAAAATCCAAAAGAAATCTTTATGCAAATTAATTCTAAAATTCACAACACATATTCATGCCAATCATTGCAAATGAGGGGGTTTTCAATTGAATCCATGATTACACAATATTTTGATAGTAGGTAGAAGAGTTAAAATAATTTAAGTTATTCTTTTTAAATATATGAAAGAAGTGCCATTATAGTTAAACAGATGTAATTAATAATGTATAAGCGGAAATTTTTATAGGGTTAGACATAGGTTTATGAGGGGGGTTTGCTCCAGTGAAAATCTTGTAATATAGAGAGACGCTATGCCTAGACTTAATTAAGATCCTTAAAAGAGTTTTATTTAAGATTTTGCTGAGAGATCACAAATATATTAGAATATATTTTTTAAAATTAATATCATGAGGTTGTTATAGTTAACGGGTACGGCTGCACTTTTTAGGAGGGTAGGGATATATGTAAGGGGGGCTTTCCAACAAATTTTTTGTCAAACTGATATTTAAATTTGGGTGATTAAAATTCTTACTTTTTTAATGTAGTGCTCATTTAGGTTTAGATATTGGCTCCTACTTATTCACTTGTTAGTATCTACTATAAAGGAGAAGATGGCAGACGCCCTGGCCAGAGGCGTCACTAGCCTCTATAATCTCAGGGAGCTCAAAAAATATTTTAAAAAGTATTTTCAAAATTATTTTTTAGCCAGCATATATCCAAAATTACGTGATACGTGATAAAAGCGTTTTCGCCCTCTGGTTGTAGGTACAACAGACCTACGCTAGGTTTTCCTCAAAGAGGAAGAAAAATGAGGAGCCCTTCACACGTTTGTGGGCAAGCCGCACGTACTTGTAGGTGCAACATTTCGAAAAAATTTGCTTAAACCTCTATAGGCTTAGTAAAAAGGAGTGGGGTAAAAAAAGAGCCTATATCCGAGAACTACAGTATAATTTAATTACTTAAAAGGTGGGTGATGGCTGATTTTAAGTCAAAATTCTTTAATGTAAGTTTTGATGATTACTATCACTAATGAGATTTTATGTTCATAGAATCTGTAAATAAATATGATTAAAATAAAAAAATTTGCCTGAACATTAGATACAGTGTTTTATTAATGATTCAATTGATACAATAGAGTAATCTTAGTCTATGTTCAATTTAATGTAACCATTTTAGCTTCAAAGGGTGATCCTTTGCTCTTATAAATTGCAAAAGGATGTAGATATATACAATCAAGAGTGGAATGAAATGTTCAATAACCTAATTGTGTGATCTTTTGGTTCTTATATTTACAAGAATAAGGAATTCGATATATCTAATTGTGTGACCCTTAACTTAACTTTGGATCTTATATACTCAACAATTTAAAATAGATCAAATGTAACCATTCCAGTTTAGAAGGTATATGTGTAAGTAAACTTATAATTGCAAAAGGAAATGTAGAATATTATAATAAATTTAATTGTATGGTTATTTTATACTTACTGAGTGGAATAAAAAATTTTCAATATAAAATTACATGTCTTTTAATCCTTATAAAGTATAAAGATATTCTATGTATCTAATTGTATAAACTAATAAATTACAAAATAATGTAGATATATACAATCAAGAGAGGAATGAAATGTTCAATAACCAAATTGTGTGGTCTTTTAGATCTTTCTGATATACACAACAAAGTTAAAATAGATCAAATGTAACTATTCCAGTTTAAAGGTATATGTGTAAAAAAAAAAGATGTATTTATCTACATTATAGTTAATAAATGCTACTTCCTTAAAAGGAATTTATAGATGCAATATCATTACAGTTCTAAAAACATGTCCATAATTAGGATTCCACAGGTACCAAAACCTTTCTTTAGGTGTAACTAAGGGATTCACAAATGCAAGATCATTACAGTTCTATATAAGTCCATAATTAGGGTTCCACAAGTACCAAAACTTTTCTTTAGATGTAACTATCTATGTACTGACCATGATTCAAATGTATATAAGATAAGAAAATTCATATTATAGTTATAAATTGTATAAGCTGGAAGTACAGAATTAACAAAATATCTTATCTTGAGGTTCTTCTGATAAATGTAAAGCTTCTTGAAAAAAATTCCATAAGTTTGAATATACTTCATAGGACTTCAATTAGTGTTTACATGGCATACCCGCCACCGAAGTTATAGTTTGATCTAAAAAAATAAATATACATTATAATAATAACTTCTAATATAGTATTGAATCTTGGTATTCTATATTGTGATTGAGGATAACAAATTTTATTTCGTTTCACCGGAAACCGACACGTTAATCCGGCGGAATAAAAAAATGCATTGAACACATATTTAAATTCATATCCATATCCAAATATTGGTTTTTATTTGAATAATAAAAATATTTCTAATGCCAAAAGAGGGAGGTCAGGAAATCAACTTTTATCTAGCATTATTAATTTCTATTCTAGCTAACATTATATAAAATTACCTTTTTTTTTTAGCTAACATTATCTAAAAAAATTTTTTATAGCTTAATTAACTACTTTTTTAGTGGTATACAAAATTTCAAAATTTGAAGGGACGCTTGAAATTTTTCAGTGGTCTCGAGCCCCTGCACTCCCCCTTCCTCAGTGACGTTATTGGCCATCTATGGGGGGGGGGGGTATAGGAAGGCAGTGAGTAGATTACCAGATGAGTAAAGTTTGAAAAATATTTTTGAGTAGGGGGTAGGGAATAACAGGTGTATTGCCTCCAATTTTATCTTCCTCATTTAGAGATTGATCACAGCGTACAGAACATTATTTTAGAAAAAATACTCAACGGCTTATTTTATCCATAAAGATGATTATAAAATCAATATATTTTATTAAATCTACTTTTTTTTAAATCCCATTTTAGTTTTTACCTTTACATATCTCTATTTTTAAAATTTATGGATTTTCAGCTGTCGACTTGTTTCGCAATTTATAAATATTAAAAATCAATTACTACTTTCCAGGCTTTGGCCTTAATAATATCTTTAGTTAATATTTTACATTATTAATTTGAATGCTCAATATGTTAGTCAATAATGTATATTAATATTATGAAATTTAATGATTTTATATACAAATAAAATGACGAATATCTAAATTAGTTTAAATTATTAATCTTGTTCCAACATGACTGCAAAAGAAACCAAAAATTATAATGATAGATCCATCAAAAGTATTAACAATTTATTATTATTATTTATATTGACACTACATAATTATCCCATATATTTTTAGCTAATAGGCTAAATATTGTATATCCATATTAGAAACATAGTTATGTAAAGAAACAATTTATCATAATTATATATTACAAAATGATTATTTTTTTAATATTAATTGCCCCATATTGATTTAAAATAAAGTACAGAAAACAAGTGTGGAAAAATGTAACATGGTATTATTGCATTTAATTTTTAAAACATTTTTTTTAAAATAAAATTTTTTTTGAACCAAAATATAGATTATATAAAATTATAGTTCTAGCTTTTAAATTGTTAATTTTTTTGGATTTTGATTAAAGTGATTAGACATTCTAAGATTTTTTTATTTTATTATAATTTTGAAGATAAACAATTTTTACTGTTTTTAAATTTACTGAATTTGAAGAAAATTATAGGATGCTAGCAGAATAGGAAATTGATTTCAACTCCAACAATATAATATAAAAATTTTAACTTATTTAATATTAATCATATATTTGTGTTCTTTTTCTAATTCCATTGCTTAACAATACTATTTCTTATCAATATAGTTGAGTAATGGCTAAATGATGACTAATTTGGCTAAATCTAGTGGCGCATTCTTGGAGAAAATCCATTAATATTAAGGTGCTTAATTCATGTTAATTTCTTTGAAATTTGAGCTGCTGTATTTTAAAAAAAACTTGGCTTACCCAATTTTTTAGCTGGCTAAAATGGCTAGAAACATAGTAATGCATTGACTAGTAGACTACCTCATTTTTTTTTCAAAATCTACTACACTCAACTTATCTACCAAAATTCTACCACATTTTTGAAATTTCAGATAATATACCCAAAAATCTACCATAAAATCTCAATTTTTTTTCTCAAAAATCATGTCTGAAATTTTTTTATATAAAATAATATGTATATGAATGTCCTGTCACATTTTCAGAAATTTTTTTAAACCTAACCCTTAAAATTATGCAACTATGCTATATTTTAGCTATGTATTGTTTGAATAGCATCGCAGTTGCTAATTACTATAAACCAGATCTTTATTACAATTAATAATAGTAATTTGGACATCCTAACTTCTATAAGGATTACCGAAAATAAAGTGAAAGAAATTCATATTAAATCTAAAAATATATACTACAAAAAATTAACTATTTTGCATCTCAATCAAAATAATGTAATTTTGGAGATACTTTTTATATTTTTTTCAAATATCTGTTTAGTATATCTTATAAGATATTTACTTAATAATGTTATGTAGTTTAATCCAAGGATTTTAATTTGTTGAAGTTTTTCTAAAATTTTTTAAAAAAGTAGAAGTTTCAAATAAGAAATTTTTCAAAAAAATATTGATCACATTATTATTAAAAAAAATTAATTAATTATTTCTATATATATCAGGGACCTGCAGGCCTGGGTACACGAGCCGGACCATATTTTAATTTTTTTATATACCTGGGCTGGGTTAAAAATTTAAATACCCAAGCAGGTCTGAAATTTTTTTAAAAAAAATACCTGGGCTGGGGTCGTATATTTTAAAATCGCCATTATTAGCTATAAAAATTAAAAATAAATGATCAGAGTCCTGTAGAAATTATATTAGAAGATTTATTAGATTAAATTACTTATTATTTAATGAATGATAATTTTTTAGGCCCAGCTTAAAAATATGAAATTCGGACCAGCCCAAAAAAGATAAATTTACATTATATCCATCTATCAGTTAAAAAATATATAACGGCGAATTTCATATTCATTTATTAATCATATTTTCAATAAATTATGGCCAGGCCAAAAAATTTCTAAAAAAATGTGGGGCTGGGTTTGAAATTAATTTCTTCAAATACAGGCCTAAAATTTATACCTCTGCAGGTCTTTAATGTATATACAATAATTTAATGGCTTGGTAAGATTAGAAATGAAAACTTAATAGAATATAATAAATAATTTTTACCTGAAAATACTTGTAGTTTATTTTCTGCATTTTCAATTTAATCAATTCATATCTCTCTGATCGTACCTCCTCCCTCTAACCTACTCTAAGAGGTTGATTTAATAAAATTGACAGATTTCTGCCTCTCTAATCATGAACTTAGGACACTCAGCGATCCTCATTTTTAGTTATATGATTATTTTTTTACTGATCAAAATATACTGACCAATTTATTCTGATTAAAGTAAGTTTTATATAGGGTTAAAATAGAAGGGGGGGGGGGGTAACATATACTGATCAAAAAAATATTAAAATTTCGTAAAAATACCTGAAGAATTTAATAAATCGACATTAAAAAAAAGAGTTCTTGATTTCCTATTCCTTGATTTCTACCTGTTCCGAGAATTTCAGGTTATTGCTCCGGGTTTAAACATCACCAACAAAATAAACATTTTAAGAGAAACAATCACTTTAAAATTTTTATTATTAACATTACAACCATTAATAAATAATATCTTTAAAATTACTAAAAATTATTAATCACTTAAAAAAAGCAATTAAGAGTTTTGGCTTAAGATTGATTATATGAAACATTTAAAAAAATATATATATAAATAGTTCTTAATTAATATAAAAATATTTAATGAGGGTTTGGCGGCTATTTAAATTTTTTTTTATCATATTGGAATCATTCTATATCACTTATCTTGTAATGATGTTTCAGAAACTTGAATGATAGAAACAATTTTTTTTAAAGTTTATGGGCTCTTAAAAGTCCTGTGGCCAGCTGCAGCGCTGGATTTACTGCCGCTTTGTTATTACATTAACGTCAATTTAAAAAGATATATTTAAGTGCCAATCATATGCATCCCCTAGGACGACACCACTACCGACTTGGTTTTTATGCAATCTTAGAAGAAATCAATCATTCATATTTTGCAATTTGGGCTATAATGTTAATTCTTTTTATATAATTTGTGGCCATTTAGCGTTTTTGTATCTTTTATTAAAAAGAATTTTCGAACCCATATTTATACTATATATCATATTTTTTAATAATAAAAAGATTTCTTTTATGATAAACCCGATGCTTTTTGCCATTTGGTTTTTCTTCTCATGCGCACATAAAATAATTGAAAAAAATTTTAAAAAAAATTGATATATTTTTACCATAAAAATATTTGTTTCAATTTTCAAAATATTAGATCCCTTTATTTCTTTTAATTATTTTTATATTAGAGGTTTGCAAAGCCCGGATCGCTTCGACCCCTTAAGAATTTTTGCATAGGGTGCCCGGCCCGTTATAGTTTATTAAAAAATTTGTTTGGTCCGACCTGTTATAACTTTTTAGTTTGCCCGACCCTGTTCGTGATAAAAGTCAGGCCCGGCCGGTTAAACTCTTACGAAAAGTCAACTCCAGCCTGTTAAATTTTTTTGTACGAATTTTTATGCCATTGCATTTTTAATATCTATATCTTATTTATTTTTTTTTTAAACTCCGGGCCGACTTGTTTTAATTTTTAAAAAAATTTCAGTCAAGCTTTCTCAAATCTAAGATAAATCCCTTGCGATCACGTGATTTATCTGATTGTAGGGATATTGTCTATTTTTATTGGAATACTCTTCAAAATTAAACCTTATGACTATTAAAAAACTATAAGCGGAAATGTATCGATGGAAATAAAGTACCAAACGTTTTAAAACGAATTATAAATGCTCTTTATAATTATCATATTAAAAAAAATAAAAAACATAATGAATACTTTACTAAATATATTATACTTTCTAATATCGTCTAAAATTAATTATTTATCACGTTTAAATTAGTAATTATTAATATTTTAAGTAGAAAAACCAACAAGTCTATAATAATAAATTGTAAAGTATCCACAAAATACAACAATTAAAGCTACATTAAATTAGAGAGGACAAAAAAATGAATAACTTTCAAATTGCACTTAAAAAGAATTAAGTTTGCAATTTAAAACTTAAACCCCCCCCCCCCCCAAAAAAAAAAAACAACTAAAAAAATAATTTTTTTTTTAAATATGAATAATTCTGGTAATAATTGATATGTTTTAGACATAATTATGAAAATGAATGAACGAGAAAATAGGGAATATTTTTAAAATGTTATGCTTAGAAACCGAATTAGGAACTCTCGAAATCGGGTCAAATCTAGGAACGAGAACCTAGAACCCTTCGTTATAAACTTTTAGAAATCGGTTATAACAAAAAGTTAAGTATTTTATATATATTCAAAATGTGTGATTCTTTATTTCTTTTTTCTAACGTTATAAGAATCATTGATAATTACCATTTTCGCCGAAATTTTTCAAGTCGAATTAATTATTTAATATTATTCCTTTTTTTTTAAATAATTGTTTCCATTTATTTTCTTATTCTCTAATATCGTCACGCTATTTTACTAACCATTAGAATTAGATATCGGAGAAATAAAAAAATAAATTATCAGGTATTTATAAAATTAAAATTTTTTTTACATTATAGAAGACAAGATAAAGTATGATTTATAAATTATTGATTAATTACTAAATATTTTATCACCTAAATTTATATTTTTATTCACAACACTATAATCATCCTTGTATAAATAGGTTCATTTCCTATAATGGAAATTAGATTGAAAATAACATGATTTTTTTGTTTATAGATTTATAGCTATCGAATAACAAATAACCCGTGTATTATATTTTTAAAAAATTGTCTTTGAATGGTAACTTTGTGCTTTACTGGAGCCCAGAGGGCCGGGTTGAAGCCCACGTGGGTCTTAACATTATCAATAAAATATAGGCCAGGCCCCTGGCCCAAAAAATGACATATTTCTTTCGTATTTTTTTCGCCTGATTGAATATCACAATTATAAATAAAAAATAAGTAAAAAAATCTAGCATTTCTTTACTTACCCCAAATTTAGCGGATTTCGCAATTAAAATCGATTTTTTAAAATTCAATATATTTTCTTTTAAATCAAAATTATAAAGTTCTTAGTTTGTGATATCGTTAGTTTTTATTATTTAA